TAATTTTTTTTAACTAGTGTAAATAGAGACCCAAATGTAATTGATTGTGGTTTGAAAATCCTATATAATGTGACTCTCCATTTTGAGACATAATTAACGGATTCCCACCAAGGTCACCACTTGTACTTCCACGTGTATGAATGTATATGCAAAACCTCAAATTTTCGAATCTTTACAAAATAAATGAAAGAGAAAGAGAAATTAAGCTTTTTCATATGTTTGGAACTGTAAAAAGAGAAGCTATATAGACAGTTGTTTGCTTCTTGTCATCTTCTATTTCACTGTACTTAGTGTTTGTTTTTTATTCCTTTTGTGCAAAATCTTATTTTCAAAATTCTCATGAACATGCACTTATTTGGATAAAAATAAAATTTCTATAAAAAAAAGAAAGAAAAATCTGAAATAAATTGAATTAAAAAAAAAACTGACCTCAAGATAGATATCAATGGCTCTGAATAATCCATCAAACCAATCTCTAGCTGAATCTGGCAAACTCTCTGCAACTTGAAGAAACTTTGACGCTTTAAGCTTCTGGTCTGGAGATATCTCTCTTAAATACTTATCAATCAATTTCCCAATTCTTAACATTTTCACATTCTGATCTTCTTTAGTGTTGCAACTTTTCACAAAGACTTTGAGTAATCTTATCACCAAATCCACATCGTAAAACCCTTTTTCTCCTCTTCCTCCTTCAGGTATCAGAAGATCATCAAGTGTTGCTTGATCCAACATTTCTCCTATAACTCTCTCTAAACCAATTCTTGATTCTTTGCTGATGCTAAAACCCGATAAAACCCGTAAAACCCAGAAGAGTTTCCTGCAGGAAAACGCGGTTTTCGCCGCGAAAATCACTCCTTGAACCGCTGTATCAGCTAAACCTGCGTACTCGAGTTTGTTGTTTGATTTGCTATGGACCTTTGTCTTGAGGTAATGGAGGAGAAATCTTGTTAGGACTAAACTGTCATTGTTCTTATCATAACTTCCGAGATTCTTTATCAGCTTTTCGATGATTTTTGGTCCGAGAATCGACATATCGTCGAACCACCACTCGTTGCTTGTCCTGCAAGAAAACGATCTCGAAGTAGACCGTTTGTCTAATTTAGACATATTCTTTACCATCTCCGGC